AGTCTTTTGGCTAAATTAGAATTAGTAATTGATAAATACCAAGATCATTTACTGTGTTGTCTTGCCCAAGTAAAGCAAAACAGCTGAGCCTAAAACATGTCCTGCCATCCCTCAGCTGCATTCCTGCTGATGGAGCACCCCTCTGGGTGGTTGTCCTGCTTCAATTTATCCCTCCTGGCCCCTTGTTCCTGCCCACAGTGACCATGCATGGAGCCATGTGATGGAGTGGAGCGGAGCAGCGACACAAGTGAAGTAAAACCCTGTGAAAGAGATCCCTGTGAGGCTGGTGGGAACAGTCCGGGGAAGGGGTGGGGGGGTCATGGGCCACGGGGGCTGCTTGGGATGCAAGGTGTGTAAATCACCCCTGGGAAAAACAGCTGTGAAACCCAATTTTATGCCCTGCTGCCAGCCTCAGGCTCTGCTCCTACTTCATCTCATGATAGGGCATGTCTCTGTGCTGTTTAAGTGAATATGGTGGGGGGTGGCTGAGGCACAGACAGGCATCTGAAATGCTGGGGTTTCAACCCCAAGCCCCAAATTAAGGTTGACACATGGGTGATTCCCACAGCCTTTCACAAAGGGCGGGTGAGTTTACATTTAAACTTCCCTCCAGGGTGCTGCGGCCTGGCAGACAGAGCCATTGGGTAAATGAGCCCCAGGTCCTGCATTAAGTAACCCAAGGTCAGGTGTCCCACTGAGGGATAAAAGCTGGGACCCCTTGCAGGCAGGGGCAGTGTCTGTGTGTGAGGTGGATGCCCTGTGCAGAGTTCCCTGTTGGGGAAGGACCTCCTGCCTCCCTGGGACTGGGCTCCAGTCAGGTCTGGCTTTTGTAAATGTGGGCTGTGTAGGGATTCATTATGTGGCTTCCTTGGTCTTATGTGTTTGGCTTGTTGACTCAGTTATCTCCCGTCCCTTCTAGGGTAAACTGCATTTCACTGTTTATTCCACCCATTGTTGGTTGTGTGGTGTTGTTGTTGGGGTCAGAGGGATTGATGTCGATTATGTATAATCTGACTTGTTTGTACCCCCAGCACTCACCCATGTACTGACCCTTTTGTATCAAATGCAATTTAGTTATTGGTTCATCTTTATGCTGGCTGTGTCCTTTATGCTAGGCCTAATAATTGGCAAAACAGCATTCCATCCCCTGATCTTGCTGCAGGATCTTGTCTCTGCCAAAGGGTGGGACAGGCAGCTGCAGCCCAGTGCTTTAAACCACTGCAGGGATGCAAGGCAGAGCCCTGCACCTACAAACACAAGAAAACAGAAAGGAGAAAAAAACAACCCCACAAAAAAACCCCAGGAAAACAAAAACAAACAAAGTTGCAGTCTTCAGGGTTTTTTTAAGCCTGTAATTCAAAGTGTGATGTATTGCTGAAATGCACATTCCCTGGCTGTGGCAAGCCAGGCAGAGGTTGAGACACATTTTCTCTGGGGAGAGGGAGGGTTGTGTGAGCCTGAGTCAGCAGCAAAGGTCACTTGGCCGAGAGGTTTGGCTTGCAAGAGAAGATTTCGTAATGGTAACTGATGCAATGTTTCTGTGTTCAGTGATGATGGCGTGGTAGGTTAGTGTGTATGCACATCAGGGAGAGAAATGCCAATTTGGGTGACTGGGGTGATAGGGCAGGGATGGTCAATGTCACCTGCCTGCTCCACCTCTTAAATCACTTCTCCCTTCCTTGTTGCTTCCATTGCTTTCTCCCCTCCTGTGTCCCCACTTCTGTGTCTCTTCAGTTCTGGCATTTAAGTGCATCATTGTGTTGTTCAGTTTATGGCCTTGACTCATCTTCCAGTTCCCTCTTGGGGTCATTATCACATCTGATTAGTCTTGGAGCCTAATGAAGAGGATCAGACATAACTCTAGGGTATGTCCAAGCCATTTAATGGTTCTGAGCATAAAGATCTGCAGAGGAAGTTTATTTTTAAGCTTCCGGAGAAGATAAATTTGAATTTTGGATTGTTTAGGGTACAAGTAATAGAACTGAAATCCCTCCAGGGGGGAGCAGTGCCCTCTGGGATTTGAAGCATGCCAGGAATAATTATCCAGTGCTGAGTAAGTCTTGTTAGTCTTGAAATAGCTTTTAGTGGATGATCATGTTTTTCTTCTTGTTGGCTAGTGTGAAAGATTGAAACTGTACATTAACATTTAGCCTTCATTGTAAGAGCACTGTCAACATGTTCTTAATACTGCTGTTACCCAGTCCCATTCTGGGAAAGCTGGGCATGGAGATACAAAACGATTACACAAAATAACCCCAGAAAATAAAAAAGGGCATTTTTTGAGGCTGCTTTTTTAAGGTCCCACTCTTTCACTGTATTAAGAGATAGGAGGGAGCTGCAAGGTGTTGTGTGTTGGAGCAAGACGAGGTTAGAGCATCCTTGGGACAGGTCCAGCTGCTGCAGTTTGGTGGTGCTGTGCAGGGGACCATAGCTCCAGCCCAGCACAGCAGCAGCAGGGCAAGTGCTATGCTGTGTCACTGGCCCAGGCAAAGTGATGTTATCTGTGTAGTGACTCAGCTGTGTCCCTGCTACCCATCTGCAGATCATTAGTCACTAATTGCCGTGGTTACCCTTTTTTTAGGCTGCTGGAAAGGCCAAGGGTCATATAGACATGAAGCAGCTGAGTCACGTCTTCCACCTCTTGCCTTCAGGTCCAGCAGGCTCTCAGTGGTGCTTGGAGAGCTGTTTGTGTGCCCTGCCAGGCAGGCCAGACCGTCTCAGTTTTCTCTTTTACTTTCTGACTGTTTGACTATAAGCCTATCACAGCTGTATGGTGGGACTGGGGTCTGTAGCTGGGGCCTTCTGGTGTGCGATGAACCCCGCACCTAAGGAATGACTTTTGGAGGCAGTGGGAGAGGGCGCTCTGCCTTGGGGCTGAGTGTGGGAAGCTTGTTTCACCTGTGCTGCATTTGCTCCCTTTGTCAGCTCTGTAAAAACCCTCTAAGCATTCTGGGGCTTCACTGAGGGTAGTAACTTCCTAATACTATTTTTCATTACTTTTTTTTCCCCACCCATCTCCTGTGCTTCCCATCTTTGGCTCTATTTCTTCATCCAGTGCCTAACCTGTAGGTACTGGTGGGTTAGGTACCATTGCTCAGGTATCACCTTACCCAGTATTTCAACCAATAGCTTCTAAATCTTTATGTAAGTCTCTTATGCTGTTACCCCAGACCAGTCTTGAGAACAAGTCTTTGACACCACACATGGCCAGTCAGAGAGGGACCTGGGGTGTTGACTCGTAGTCAGCTGAACAGGAGCCAGCAGTGTGCCCAGGGGGCCAAGAAGGCCAATGGCATCCTGGCTTGTGTCAGCAATAGCGTGGCCAGCAGGGACAGGGAAGGGATCTGAGCCCTGGGCTGGGCACTGGTGAGGCCGCCCCTCGATTCCTGGGTTCAGTTTTGGGCCCCTCACCCCAAAAAGGCCATTGAATGACTCGAGCGTGTCCAGAGAAGGGCAGCGGAGCTGGTGCAGGGTCTGGAGCACAGATCTGCTGGGGAGCGTCTGAGGGAACTGGGGGAGTTTAGTCTGGAGAAGAGGAGGCTGAGGGGAGACCTCATCGCCCTCTACAGCTCCCTGACAGGAGAGTGCAGAGAGCTGGGGATGAGCCTCTTGAACCAAGTAATGAGTGATAGGACAAGAGGTAATGGCCTCAGATTGCACCAGGGAAGGTTCAGACTAGGTGTCAGGAAGCATTTCTTTGCAGAAGGGGTTGTTGGGCGTTGGAATGGGCTGCCCAGGGAGGTGGTGGAATCCCCATCCCTGGAGGGGTTTAAGAGTCGGGTCGACATAGTGCTGAGGGATCTGGTGTAGTTGGGAACTGTCAGTGTGAGGTTAATGGTTGGACTGGATGATCTTCAAGGTCTTTTCCAACCAAGGTGATGCTATATAGTATCTGGAGGGTCCTAGACACAGCTGCACATGGACACTGCCCTTTTGCAGGTTTTTCTGTCTGCCTAAAATCTTCTTATCTCTTCTGGCTGTTGTTGCTTTTCTTGAAGGTTACAGACTCCATCTCTGGTCACGATTTTGACGGTACCCTTAGTGGACTAGATATGGAGATGTGGATACTCATCCCTCATGCCTTGCTCAGCTTCAGCAAACTACATTTATCTGTTAGGTCCTTTCCATAGTTCGAGTAGCCTAAGGAAGCCCTGTAGGTCCTCCTCTGTGTAGACAACCCTGCCCATTCCCATGGCATTTCTAAAACATTGGTGTCTGCATCCTGCCAAGGAGGTTGGACTTGGTGGGGGAATGTGTGCTGGGTTGTCCCACCAGGCTCCTCTGTGTTCACTTCCCATTTGAGTTTCACGCCAAGCAAGCTTCCCTCACAAAACTAAAGAAAATTATAGTAGTAGCAATATTCCTAATAACATCTATTATTTCTTTTTAAATAAAATCTTACTGTACTTCATCCAAACTGTTACTCCACTCCTCACTGTGATTTTAACAAATGGGCTCATTTTGTCTTTAAGGCTGCTGCTTTTATTTTAAAATTATTTTAATTTCCTGATCTGTTCTCCCCTTGTGTGCCCTAGCTCTGCTCTTTGGGGACCTAGCGCCCACCTGGAGGAACTCATGGGGGGTTTCTGTGTATTGCCCTAACAAAAATAAATTATGCGATGCCCTTGGAAAATGTGGCAAATTCCACATTGGGGCTGATATAGTTAAGAATGAAACAAACATTTGGGGAAACCTGAGAAATGGTGGCTTGGGCTTGTGGAGTGCTTCTTGAGAAGCTGAAAACCAGCATCTCTAATTCATGGGCAGCCAGGTAAGATGGTGCTAAAGCCAAAATGTGGCTGAAGTTTCACAGCAGCTGACTTTGGACTACGTGGATGCCCCAGCTCAAAGTGGGAAGGTCTCTTCTCCCTTATCTGATGAGCCATGCATGTGCCAGGAGACCTTTGTTCTGAATATGTGGAGGAATAAAGTTCTGCCAGAATATAAGGGCATTTCCCCACAGCCTTGGTTCACATGTTGCACTTTCTGTCTGTCTTGCAGCTGCGTAAATGAGTATGGAAGATTATGATTTCCTCTTCAAAATTGTTTTAATTGGCAACGCCGGTGTGGGGAAGACCTGCTTAGTCCGTCGCTTCACTCAGGTAAGGTTGGCTGCCTCTTGGACATGGGACATTGGGGTGGGGACAGCACTGGGATGGGAGAATGGAGCCTATAGCTGTGTGCTGAGGACTCTGCTGGTGTCGTGGCTCCAAAGCATTTTGTTGTCCACACTCTTGGTGTGTGCATCGCCTATAGTGACATACTGATACAGGCAGCACATCTGTATCTAATGGTATGCTTGGCCCTGTTGAGGATCTTGGGTTGGAGAAAGCTTATCCCTCTCTGAAGGTGAAAAGTCCCCTCTGAAAGCTGCTGGGACAACTCCTGATTTGGAGATGCTCTGGAGTGGTTATAAGGAACAGCATGTCTTCTAGAGTGCTCCTAAGTGCCTTCTCCCTGTTCCTTGCTGCACAAAGCTCTCCCTGTTATTTGTCATTAGCAGATAATTAAATAATGTGGGCCCTGGCCTGTCAGTCCAGTGTCTTCTGTTAAACACCAGATGTTTTGTTGTGGCAGAATCACAGGGAAAAGATCAGGCTTCTGTGATCTGGGGTAAGAGAAGGTTTTGCCTGATGGACTATAGAACATAAGTTGTGGGATTTTTGTTGTACTCTCCACTAGAAATTGTCGGCAGTTTTCCCCTTCACTGTTAATTTTAGTTTTAAAGTTGTGGTGATGTCAAACACTCTCCAACTGTATGTGACAGCTGGTGGCAATACAACTAGTCAATCCCAAAGGGTTAACCCCAGTAATCTGCGGTCACTTCTGCTTGTGCTTTGACAGCACAGCTGCTGTAGGGGATGGATGTACCCCAAAATCAACCTGACTTTGTAGAGCTAGACACCAGAGATCAAAAAACTTTTTTTTTTTTTTTATTTGTTGCTGTTGCTCATTTCCAATGGTGCTACAAAGACCACCAGCGTCATGCTGGTACTTGCAATTGCTGTGGCACCAGTAAGTGGCTGGTTCAGTGCTTTGCTCCTGAAATGCTATGCAGGGATATGACACTGGTGCTGCCAGAAATGCCTTCCCATGGCATGGTGTGTGGTGGAGGGGAGAGGGAAGGTGTGAAGTTGCAGGAACAAAGGCATCTTGTCCCACACAGGCACTCCCATCTATTTCAAGGCATTGGAAAGTGGGACAGAGGGTCTCCATCTACCTTTCCCCTGCCTCTGCCAGCTGCACAGAAGCGTAAGGGCTTTTACCCTCTCTTTTTCCCTGTATGCATCCTCCTTCTGTTTTCCCAGCTCTCAAGTCAGCAATTTGCTACACAACTAGGGATGTGTAGGCAATGAAAACACCGTGGGGTTGAAAATTTGTACTGGGGAAATATCATATTTTCCTCTAGAAATACGATGGAAATAAGTGTCTTGGGAAGGTCACAGGGGAGGAATAGTTTTGAGGATAGAAAAGGGTGAGAATTAGCGCCCAGAGAGAGTTTTGTCTTGCTACAGAAAATTGCTTAATGAAATTGTTGTTTTCTTTCAGGGACTTTTCCCACCGGGTCAAGGAGCCACGATTGGGGTTGACTTTATGATTAAAACTGTGGAGATAAATGGTGAAAAAGTAAAGGTATGAGTCTAATGGTTTTAAGTGTAAACTCATGTGGGAGTATCATAGCAGAGGTTTCTTGCTGCAGCCCTCCCGCTGCTGGAAGGCACATGGGGGAGTGCAGGGCTGTCTAGCATGGCTCAGGCGGTGCTGGATCTGACAGTCTTTGTACTCCTCCACAACCTCCATCAGGATTGTAACAGTAAACCTACTCTAAGGGAGAAAATAGAAAAGGGAGGTCTTGCAAAACTCTGTCCTTGCTTAGGAGACGCTAAGATCGTCCCTGACTGGGGTTGAGAAAGCACAAAGAAGTGTTGCAGTGCAACTTCTGCTCACAGCATTTCTGGTAAGAAGAAATCTGTTGCATTCCCACTGGGATATGCTTGATGACTGTCTTCTGTGAGCTCCCAAGATGTCGCTGGAGAGAGCAGGCTTCCAGACTTGTGCAGTTCTGCACAACAGTGCAGGGCTTATCTTCCACTTCTGCTGAGTTATGGGTTTGGGAGGAGATGACCATAATACATGTGCTTCAGTCAACACGTTGAATTGAGAAGGGCAATGTCCTCTACATTAACACTTTCACTCTCCAAAATAGAGTGGTTGCAACCAAACTGCTGCTGGGAAACTGTCCTTATCCTGTGCTGACTTCCAAACTGAGCCTGAGCATTGCTGGGCCCACTTTGCCTGGGCCAAAATACACTGGGGGCCAATCTCATGCTCTAATGGGATCCATGGTTAGGTTCCAGCACCCAGAGATGTTGGCTGGCGCCACTTTATTCATTAGCAGAGATTTTGCTAGACCTACTGTGATGTTCAAGAGATGAGAGAGGAGTATGGTTATCTGAGCCTCTAATGTCAAGGTGTCCAGAGTCCCTCACCTGCTTCTGGAATTACTCTGCCTGCATTAAATCAAGAGGCATCCAAGGGAAAAACAGTTGTTTTCACCTTGCTGCCCTCATCAAATCTAGTAGTGAGGAAATGGGAGAGCAGCAGCAGTGGGACTGTGGCTGATGTGACATCTAGACCAGTTTTTAAGCTTCTGTAAGTGATGGGATGGAAACAGTGGACTTGGGCTGGTTCTCAGCCTTGGATTTTTTTAACCTTTATGTCAGCACAGAGAGATTTTTAAGAAGGAAATCAGGTGGTGTATTCCTAAACTTAGGACAGATTTTAAAAGCCATGATCATGTCAGCAGGCTGCCAACCTGCTGCGTGAGGAGATGTACAAACCTATGGCTAGTGATGGTCCTTGAGCAGAAGACCTTCCAGCCTGAGCAGGTCAAGGACAAGAGGTGTAAATACCTTCACCTGATGTAGTCGGAGTTAATATTCAGTGCATGGCTGTAAAAGTGGGACAGAGTGGCAGACAGGAAAGCAGTGAGGATCCTGTGTAGCCCTTGTGGTGTTGGTGCTTGGTTCAGTGGTTGTGATGTTCATTAGCAGGCGGCTGGCATGGCAGGGTTGGTCAGGACACGGATGCTCCTTGTCCAGGCTCCTCGGACAGCAGAGATGCTTCTTTCAGCCAAAACCAGCTCCATTGGAGCAGCTCAGGAATCTAAGCTGGTAAATGGCTTAAGTACTGCACTGAAGGTGGAATTCATTTTTTCTCTTATAAACCTGGCTTAAACTAGCTGTCTCAAAATTGTTCTGGTCAATGGAGAGAGAAAAGTAATCTTGAAGATGAATCCCATCCACTTTAGACACCTCTCCTTTCCAAGCATCTGGTTCCCTGTCAGGTACAGATGGAGCCTTAAAAACATTGCTTATATCTGAGGTCTGGTTTTTGGACAGATGAACTCACCCTAAGGATTTGTCTGTTTGACTTGTTGCTCCCATGACATAATCTCGTTTTAAGACTAGCTTTAAGACTGAGGATGCAAACTCCTTAAGAGAATATTGGGAGCAGTTGTGCCGACGTGGGCTGTCTAAGGAGCAAGAACCATTTAGGGAAGCTTTACAAGCTAAGTGAGAACTCATCAGTGTGGTAAACCCCTGTTGCTCTGCAAATGCCTGGTGAATGCACAAGTGTTCACCCAAGCAGCTCTCTTAATGACCTTGGGGCTGGCTTATGTTTCAGCCCCAAGTGGTAGCTGGTACACCAGCTATATTTCACATAGCAAATAATGAGTTGATAAATCAAAATCCCTCTCCCAACCCCACCAGTGGAGTAAATTAGAGTCACCGGAGCTCAGCCACAATGACCAAGCTTGGGAGGAAGCTTAGTATAATACATTTGGGTGTTTGAATGAGTCTTCCGGCATCTGAAAGGAAAACGGATTTCTTTCAGGGAGTGATCTTATAGCCAAAACTTTTGAGTAAATGGTGCTAGTGAGAATAAACATTTAATGAGGAGGAAAAGCAGAAATGAGTCAGAGCACAGAGCAATAAAAATGACATCAGTCAAACAAGGCGTTTCTCTGACTGTAGCTTATTTAACAGTGCCCGAGCTGTGACTCCACTTCTGTGCCGGGCAGCATCTGCTGCGTATCTGCTGGGATCCAGGATGAGAGAGCAGAGCTCTTTACCAAAAAGGTTTTCAGACTTGAAAATAAATTATAGATTTCTGGGGAAAAAATACTTCCCAGCTTTCAAAATTGCACTTGAAAGTCTGTGGAGGGGAACTTGAAAGCATAAAAGCTGTGTGCAAGCCATATTGGATATGAGTGGCTACTAAAGCTTGCTGACAGATGAGCTGAGACAGCACTGTGCAGTGGAGGGGGCTTTTGATCTGCCTGGCCTTTCCTAATAAAACCAAAAATATGTATACCACCTGCATGAAGAGGCTACACAAATTTTAGCCAAGTAGAAAGAGTTGTGCAGGTCAAAGCTGAGCATCCTCAGTCCTGCAGACAGAGGGCTATGCTATATGGGCCTGTGATGCTATTGCACTTGGTGGAAGTGTTCATATGCATAAAGCTAAATATATGTGCAAATGGTAGGAGAGTGGGAAACTCAGCTGGGTCCGAGAAAATAAACATCTAGGTTATCTGGAGGCTGAGTCAGGCGCTGTTCTTTGGTTTGTCTGAAAAAAATGGTGCAAGTAAAATGGTTGCTGTAAAATATTTTATTTGGCAGCAATAATCAGTGGGCTGAAGTGAGATGTTTGTTTTGCGTGCAGGAAGAGTTTGTCAGCGGCTGTAAGGTTGGGGGCTCTTTGCTGCCTTCTGCACCCAGCTCACAGGTAGACTCATGACCGTAGCCAATAAGAAAATAGCAGAGCAGCAACAATATCTCCTGTATTTTTCCATATGCCAGAGCTTGGAGTTGGTTTTATAGAATCATAGAATGGTTTGGGTTGGAAGGGACCTTAAAGATCATCTAGTTCCACCCCCTGCCATGGGCAGGGCCACCTTCCACCAGCCCAGGTTGCCCAAAGCCCCGTCCAACCTGGCCTTGAACCCTTCCAGGGAGGGGGCAGCCACAGCTTCTCTGGGCAACCTGTGCCAGGGCTTCACCACCCTCACAGGAAAGAATTTCTTCCTTACATCTAGTGTAAATCTATGCTATTTGAATTTAAAATCATTACCGCTTGCCCTGTTGCTACACTCCTTGATAGAGTCCCTCCCCATCTTTCCAGTAGCACCTTTAAGCACTGGAAGGCTGTTATAAGGTCTCCCCGGAGCCTTCTCTTCTCCAGGCTGAACACCCCCAACTCTCTCAGCCTGTCCTCACAGGAGAGGTGCTCCAGTCCCCTGAGCATCTTCATGGCCTCTTCTGGACCTGTTCAATCAGGTCCGTGTTCTCCTTCTATTAGGGCCCCCAGAGGTGGACACAGCACTGCAGGGGGGGTCTCACCACAGCAGAGTAGAGGGGGAGAATCCCCTCCCTCAACCTGCTGGCCACACTTCTCTTGATGCAGCCGAGGATACAGTTGGCTTTCTGGGCCATGAGCACATGTGGGGTCATAGTGAGTTTTTCATCCTCTGATACCCCTGAGTTCTCCTCCACGGGGCTGCTCTCCAGCCACTCATCACCCAGCCTGTATTTGTGCATGGGATTGCTTCGACCCGCGTGCAGGACCTGGAACTTGGCCTTGTTGAACTTCAGCAAATGCCATTTGTTTTAACAGGGGCTCATTTGTTATCTGAATTTCATGTGCAAGTAATTTCACTTCTGGTTTTGTATGTCACTTAACTGTAGGTGCCAGGTTCAGCCATTTAAACACAACTGTGCCAAGAGATGAAGCACAAAGGTGCCCAGGAGTTGTAAGCCAGCCACAAGTTATGTTCTCTGCAAAAATGTACTTTTTAAAAATCGTACCCCACGTCTGAAAGCTGCTACTGGGAGCTCTCATTTCAAACTAACACATTTATGATGAGTATCTGGCATAGTTTGACTTTGGAACTGGGCAAGAATAAAGTTTTCCCTGTTACAGGCTGCTGAATATATGGAAAAAATCTCAAATACTTTAGCTTTTTCTTCCCAAAGTACACAGGATTCTGGCTGGAAATCATCCTTTCACATATTTAATTTCAGGGAGGGGTGCCTTGAAAAAATAGAAGCTGAAGCAGAGAAGTACTCTTTTATACTGAAATGGTCTTATTTAGGATATTTGCTTCTTTGACTGCATTTTGAAGAACTGAGGTTTTTATGACCCACCAAAAACTGTCAGATGGTCATATTATAAAAACAGTATGAGTTTAGTTTGTATTGGGAAATACATGTTGTCTTCCTGGACCCAGAAGATTTGGCAAACACTCATGACCTCTTTGATACAGTTAAGGACATGTCAACCAGTTCTACATGTTGGGAAGGCAGGCAGCAAGAAACTGAGTGAGATGGCTGAAGCTGCGGAGACAAAATGTGTTAGTCCCTCATCAGCCTTCAGCTGAACTCCTTGTTCAGTCTTGTGGTTTCCACCCATCAGTGCATCATCTCAGCATAACTGTAACTAGTTTTGGGAGCTAGAGGCGAGGCTTGCTTATTTCTTCTTGGGATGGATGCTGCTAGTTAGACTTCAGGGGCAGGAGGAGTGACTTTCTCCCTCCAGCACCTGTGTTGTAACACCAGGCCAGCAGCTCTGTCCACAGCAGAGAGGGAGATGCTAGAAGCTGCATGAAAACCCACAGACCTGCAGCTTCCAGGGGGCATTGGCGGCAGTGCCAGCTGACTTTGTGCCTTGCATTTCAATCCACAAGTGCAGAAATGGAAACAAAAAATTCTGGGGGAGGGGAAGCCAGAGGAGAGAAGAGTGAAGTGCTTTCCCAGCATTGGCTTTATCCTGAAGAGTTTTTTTAGGTCAAAACAGTGCTGCTATCAAATAAAAATATATATATTTTTTTTGCTTTTATCACCCTTGTTTGTTATGCCAAAAGCTGCAGATCTGGGACACAGCAGGACAAGAGCGGTTCCGATCCATCACGCAGAGTTACTATCGCAGTGCTAATGCGTTAATCTTGACCTACGACATCACCTGCGAAGAATCCTTCCGGTGTCTCCCCGAGTGGCTGCGAGAAATTGAGCAGTATGCCAGCAATAAGGTCATAACTGTGCTAGTGGGTAAGTGACAATCGGACCTGGTGGGGTGGTGTGATGAGGGGGTGAGCTGTGTGTGTTGAGGGCTTGGTGGCAGATGGAGATGTTAGCAGGAGGAAAACATGTGTGAACTGGTGGTGTAGGATGTTTGAACTGGTATAGCAGATCTTCTTGCCAACCAGTTGTAACTGCAGGTCGGCTCAGGATACAGCCAGTATCTCCAACCCAGTGCTTGGACATTTCCTTCTGCAAATAGCCCCAAGATGCTGATTAGTGATGTTCAGGGCACCATGGCCACTTCTTGAAGTGAGGTCCTGTCTCCGGTCTAAGGCTGTTGCATGCAGAGGTGGATGCTTCCCACTGGTCTGTCCCATATGGGACTAAAGTGTTGATGGTTCAGCTACCAA